GTCCAGCTACTCATCTCAACCAGTCAGTAGTACATAACATTTTGCATCTATGCTTACTTTCTTGATTGCCATCTATGGTATAAATAATAATAATAATAACTTCCACTTCCAAATGAAATTGTGACGGAATTTCGTTTCGAACTGTGCCAGCTGTAAATTGCGAATTAAATTCGAATGTATCGTGGTCTTGATCCAGTTATTCTAAAAGACACAGTGATATACAGTCTTTCCAATAAAACAGTTCTATAATGTACTTAAAGTTATTAGGTGGGAAATTACTTTCTCTTGTATGCAAATTCCAGTTTTATATATATTCACTTTAATGCAGAATAGCTTTGCAGTCGCTGTCCAGTCTCACTCATCAAATATAATAATCAGCTGATGATTACTGAGAAACGAGAAAGTTTACATTAACTAAAACGTTGAAGGCCATCAACACATTGTATTCCTAAGTATCGGGTACCGACAAAAATAGTACTGGTTGCTTGTACAAACAATTTCAGCAGACTTTAAAAATATGGTGACGTTTCAAGTAACTCCTACATTAAGTAGTGACATTTAATGTCCTCAGAATTAGTAACTTAATTCTTGAATTTCAGAATCTTTGAAAAGAATGAAGCATGAAAATATAACCTTCATAATTATATTTTGGCATTTTTAAACTGCAAATTATTGCTTTCAACTAGCATTGAATGGAATTTAAGTAAACTATTGACGAAAACATCGCAATAACACGTCATTAGAATTTTTCAAATTGCACAATTTGAAAGACGTTTGCAATTTTGTAGTTTGCACAGCTAATAATCAGTCAAATAGTCAGTGAAATATAAACATGCAGTATGTTCTGGCATACACATTAAGGCATTTTTACTTTAAGGTATTTGTCAGTATACGTTTACGTCGAATGCGCACTTTCTACTTAGACGTATGCATTAATTATAATTTATTCTTAACCAAAATGCATATATGTATTCATTCACAAAAAAATTATTTCAATCAAATAAAGCTAAGGAAAACTAAAAATATTAGACATTTTTATTATAACATTGTTTTAAGCAGAACATTTATCTTTTCGTCTGAGAAAGTCACAATATGAAAATAGCCACTTCTTCCTGGTAATGTAACTAAAATGACGTTACCCTCTCCACTTCACCTGATAATCAATGACAATTAATCCAACATAACAATTTAAAATGTCTTTTCTAGATGCTTCACTTTTTGCACCAAACACTGTATTCTACCACTATTCAGTTTAGTCTGCCATGGCCCTAATAAGCATAACTCAAGACTTGAACCAGATTCACTTTGCTGACAATCACCTTAAAACAGTGCCTCGAAGCAATTATTTTATCTTTCTTATCTCTTCTGTGAAGTAAGGAGAATAACAAACAGAGATTCATAAATCAAAAATACAATATAGAAAATGTTATTTCATTTCAAAGAAAAGCCAGTACGCGGCAAGATTGACTACAACAGCCTTACTAAGTAATCCATGATGACTAAAATATTCAAAAGTTGTTGATTTTCAGTCAGTCAGTTATTTTCATTTGCCTTCACGGTTATACTGACCGAAAAAATCTGTATGTATATGATAAGCTTCTACTCTTAAAGTCATAGAAATTACACTGAGTAAAGGTGATTCATGAGGTGATCTGTGCGCATTTTGACCCACATAACTTGCATAAATTCAGTTTGATGAATCTCATCCAGGCAAAATATTAAAGGTAGGCGTCTTATGGTAGTATAGATTGTATATTTAGTGCAAGCTAATCAGCAAAGAATGAAGGTTGAGAACCTAATGCCAGACTGAAATCTGCAGGTTACAGTGCAAGCACTTAATTCTTTATTCTGTCCTTCTCTCTACAGTTATAACGGGAACTAAAAGGGAGTTTTTTGAACTTTCAGCAGTTCATATTTTCTACTTGTAAAATATCTAACATCAGTTTGATCCCCTTAACAGTTAGACGTCATCACAGAAGATTCCATGCTGTATATGATGCCATACACCTCATAAAACACAAACAGTAGTATGCTAATGATTTTCGGTGGCGTCATCACTGAGACTCGGAAGGAAGACCTAATGTTTCAAGCACCGAAGCGACAACAAATAAGTTGGTGAACCACAAGAGTTACATTTTAAGCAACAGATATTAGCTTTGTATACTTAAATTCTAGATTTCCTGTTTTTACTAGACTGAAATGACGTGACTTTGTTCTCATGTTGAATAAATTTGGTTGTGACAACTCACTATCCTAGAGTATGACGTCATGGATTTCGAAACTAAGGGGACTAAGTTGCAGTCTCAGTTTTGATACTATCGGCTTCTAGAGGAGATTATATGACGCGAATGGGGCAAATGTAATTGCACCACTAGACATCATCGATTGAATAAAAGGAAAGTGTGATCAGAAATGTCTTCATCGGACTAGGAACCCACCATTTTCGTCCATTTAAAAAGCAACTGGAAGTTAAAACCCTCTGTTGCAGTAAAATCAATATTTTAGGTTTAACTTAGAGGAGAAACTTTAGTTTGCGAATGGTGTTAATTGTGAAACCAATATACATTTTTCGCCATGTGTTATAGTTCCTAGAAAGAACAAAGTCTAAGATAGCAATAATAGAATCAGCAAGCCAGAAAGCATGGGTTTTCTTATTTACAGCAATTTTCAGTACTATATTTTGATTAATTTTTATCAATTCAGAAATTCGGATGCATGATCGATCCAGCAAATTTACCTTTGACAATTGCTCGTTATATTCGGTGATCAAACACTTATATGATTCATTTTCTCTTCTAAACGGAAAGAATTTGTACATTTTGTTCCACTGCTAAATCTTATTTTATGGCGAATGTTTTAACTCAATCTCTCCGGCTAGTTTGGGTCAAATGAAATTAAGTACAAGCTGTTTTGAATAAAAATCGACAAAATATGGCAATTTTTAAGGCTGATATCATTAGCGGAACTAAGTAAATTATTTTCTCAGGCGTTTCTGACTTGATGTACAACAGTAACAATTTTTTAACCCAGTGATTTCATGAAAACAAGCTTATTTACCCTCTGTAAACCAAGAAATTAGACGACATCTGCAAATGATTTAAACACTGTTCTTAAGCCGATAAATAAAACATTTTTGGATAATATGCTTAGATTTGTTGACGCCATTGTCCTAAAAATGCCTAAACCTGCTTTCTTTGTTCGAAATCTATTTTTTATCGCAGTGATACTGCCTTGAAAATTCAATTTTAAAACCGAAGATTGTTTACTTATTAATATTTCTTCACCTCTTTTTATCCTTTTTCTCTTAACTCTACCTGAAAGCACTAAATTAATATATCGACAAATTGATTCAATTTTTAACTTTTAGACTCCTGTAACTTCTGTGAATGTCTGTGGCAAGCAGGTTTGTGAATAGAATGCTCAAAATGTGTTGGAGCAATGTAGCGGATATACTACGTATCATTAATATTTTGTTGAAATTCATGAAAAGAACAAATCCAAATGTTTATTTATTTTTGTAATGATCTTGCTGATCTAATCTCTAATTCCGTTTATCACTTGGTGATTTATACAGAACTTTTTTTCTGAGATCCCCCTAACTTTCTCACATTTCGTTTAACCCAAAATGAGGTTTTGCTGCAAGTTTCTCTACGCAAAACTGTGCATATTGTAAAAATGAATGTATAAAACTGACCAAATTACAGCAGAGAAAACATACATAAATTCAAAATCTCCCAATAATAGATTTTTAATTTTCCATACAGATACATACTAAGTTATGCAAACATCACACTACGCTTTGAGAAACATATAAATTCAATTTATTAGAAATCCTCTTAATCGAAATAGTTCACTAATGACCTAAGAATAAACTGGGGTAATCAATCCGTATAATTCTTCATATGGAGTAACAATAAAAAATACTTCTCATTAAACTTCACTTATTCTTATATTGTTAATTATTCTAGATATGTGTTATAATAGAATTGAATAATGCATTTATATAGCGTAATGAGTATATCGTTTGTGGATCACTAATGTGTATGCCCACAGTCCATCCCACCATAAAATTTACTGAACACTTCAGCTATTGAGTTGAAAATAATTAGTATATAAAAAATAAATTATGCTCCTCACTAAAAATCAAGATGGGATCAGTAATCTACAAGTTACTCCATTATGAATAAGATTTTATTTTGATAAATCACACAGTGTTGTACAGTTATATTAACTGATGACGTTTCGAGCACAAACTATTGCTCATAATCATACCAAGTTACTCACAAATGAGGCATAGTTTGTGCTCGAAACGTCATCAGTTAATATAACTGTACAACACTGTGTGATTTATTAAAACAAAATCTTATCCATAATGGAGTTATACTGTATCTTAGTGCCCAAGTTTTATACTAGTATCAATCTACAAGTCAGTTTCGGTAACAAATAAGTAGACGAGAAATTTCTTATCATCTGATCAACTAACGTTTAAGCCTTTTATAATTGGCTTCATATATTTCTTAATTTATTTGTTATTCAGTATAAAGAGTAAGAGGAAAATAAGGAGATTTAGAAGAGAGGTCACTTGTTCTCACTCTGAGTCTTAAGGTTTCTGAAAATGAGAGAAAAATATTCTGAATTCTTAGCTATGAATTAAAAGATTTCTGCCCCTTGTTAACTCGGTAATCAGACATTTTTGTTTGCTTAGTAACGTGCTCGATTTTTGATTAATCACAAAGTGTCTTAATTATAATTAGAAGTTTCAGAAAACAATTTTTGCAAAACGTCTTTTAATAGCAGTGTACCTCAATACAAGTTCTTAAAGTATTTCTAGTGTAGCACACTATGTGATCAATAATTAAAGATATTTTTTTTCACATATTGATTTCAATCCGTTAGGGAAGACGAAAGGAGAAACAATGATTGATACTGTTAGGCAAAATTTATAAAATATTAGTCTTATATCACGAAATTTTCGATTACTTTTGAGCGATACTACTTACCGGTCGGTGTCTCAGTTTCTTGTGGTTTATATGTTTGACTATCGTACTCATTTATTGCTTGAGTATCAATTGAATTTTGTGACAGTGAAGATGGTAGATTATCCTTAAATAACACTTCAGTATTACTGGCTTTTGAGAATTCCGATAAGGTGTCGTCTTCTTTTACTGTATCGCTTTTAGTCTTGTCTACGATTTCCAAAGTTGTTTGTGGATCTGTGGCCATTGTTGAGGAGAATATTGACGTTTGTGATAATTGTGTTGATGATGATCTGAAGTGATTTGTACGTGGAAAAAGAACTTTGGGATAAACATGTATATTCATTTTGATCAGTTAATTATTAAACAGTGAACAGAAATAATCTTGTTTCTATTAATAACTTCATTTTTTTGAGAGAATAGAATGTTTTAACTTTTTTCTCTAATCTAACACGACTATCTCGCCATTAGTATATGACTCAAAATTTGAAAGTAAGTACCAAAGGTGAAACAATAATTGTTTCTGATCTTATTCAAACATTTTTCATCATCTGTTCCTCTTTTTATAAGTAATGTGCTTTATAGATAAAAAATTTCAAAAATTGATTTCGTCTACTTCATAGTATCCAATAGAAATTTAAAGAATAGAACAGAAAGTGAATTTCACTATTATCGGTCAAATACGGTCAGTTTGTCATATACTTTAACTATGTATATATATATATATATATGATACACTGGATTATTTCCAATGCAAATGAGAAGCACCATGTTGAGTGTAGAAATGCATGACATTGAATGCTTGACTGTAGCTGTTTTTGTTGTTTATGTTGTTGTGATCGCATTTCTAAACCTTTTTATTTCGTAGTTGTTTTAATCAATCAATTATCTTAAAAAATGAAATATACGTTGAACGCCTGGGACGTATTTCTTTCTTTTCACATTCAAAGAACTTAAAAAGCTCAATTTTAACAACAAAATATATGAGATTATATGATCTATTTATTATGTATTTGTAATCAAATTACAAGAAATTATTCATAATACAAAATTAAATAAATCATATTTGAAGTTTATAAATGATTATGGTCTAAGTAGTAATAATAATTCCATAAAATGGACAAATGCATTTCAATCTAATTATATTATCATAAATGTAGGGGAAAACGATTTTCCATGTATTTGACAATTGACAAATTATACGACCGTTCTATCCACAAATAATCGTTTAATTAAGTCATCACCTGTTATTAAACCAAAGTAATTATAACATAAGATGAGCACCAAGCATAAGAGAATAACAGTTTTTGTTTGAGTGAACTGTTTGGTAAAGAAAATAACAAATTTGAAAATGATGCATTTCGTGGCTGAAGACAGTGTTATATTTTAGGAATTTAAGTTAGTTAGCATTATTACAAAATGATTTAGTAGTTTTACTGCTATTTAAGCTTAAGTCTTCATTTAATCGAATCCGGATGTCGCTGTAAGCATAACTTTCTATGTAAGGAAGTCTCGTTTGACGTTTAGATCGTTTGTCAATTTTAAATAATAAATTTAAATCACAACTTTTAAAGGGACTAATTTCTTCGACTGAACATCAGTAATTGATGTCATGTGTCTAGTCTTTTGCGTGGTGCAGACTCAATTCTATCAGTCAAGTTTGCAATGTGGTCACCATGCTAGGTGGCTAGACATCATGGTGTACTCTGAAATGGTTTTATTGAATGGTCAGAAGCAATCAGCAGGAAGCTTTTGACTAAAGTTTCGTGTTACACTGCACTCGTCAGCAAGGCGTACAAGTAACCTTGAAGGAACAGTTGTATAACGGAATAATATATAAGTAATTGTTATTAGAAATCTACGTTCACACGATTGGCCTTGCTAATTAGAGCACAGGATCTGTTTCATCTAGGGGCAACTAGTCAATATTTTCTACTTTCTACCTCTAAATCAACCAGTAAAGTTTTATGTAAGTTAGGTGCATCAATAAACTGGAATACTGACTCCAAAGATAGTAAACCTAAAACACGTCGAGTTTACTTACGATTTAGTTTGGATTATTAAACAAATTTTATGAAAAAAATTAATTCCACTAACCTAAATATTAAAAGTTCTTCTTCTTACAGTTAGTCTGAAAGATAACTTCATTTAAGTTAAATAACTAAGATGTTCAGTGAAACCTAATTTCACTGTGTTAAATAGCAATAAACAAATACCTTTTGTCTTTCATAACTGGTTGATTTAAATCATCAAGCCAGCTGAATGATACGTTTGAAACTTATGTCAACTGGAATCAATAACACAAGGCAGTATAGTCTTCTATCAACAACAGTAGTCAAGTTTTCCAGTTAAATAATACACCCTGATTACTGTAACACAATGTTTTTTCATTTAAAGGCGAAACTCTTTCAGACGTTTTTTTTCCTGTTGAAAAACTATGTGAATATGGAGTAACTACCTTATTCACTTTCCTAATATTTTTCACTAATCCTCTGAACTTTCGTAATATCTTCTAGTGACATCAGGAAACCTCTACCTTCATTATCGCATCCACCGTTTCTAAGGCATCAGTTGTAGAAGTACAACGAACCAATAAGTTTGCTTCATTTAAGTAAGTTCATTTTCTTCCCAGAGATGTAAAGAAGTTGCTTTTGTGCATAGTAGCTGCAGCAACGGGATAGCTATGATTTAAGTTCTAAAATCCAAGGTAACTTATTACAAATGAGTCTACTTTCGTTTGTTTGAATGGAATTCACTTGAAACTAATGAGGTGTAATAAAACAAAGATAAGTTAATTGGTTAAACAAAAATACCTGTGGAGTAAAATCACTCATTGAATGCTTTCTTGAACAGTATTTAAAAATTACAGTCAAGTTGATACACCTACATTCATCCCATATCAGAATGTTTGACCTTATCGGTAGTATTTGAAGTAAAAACTTCAAATAAGAGTTAACAAATAACTTCCACTGACTTTAAAGTCAGGTTGTAGATTAAAAAGGACGGAAGACTGAATGAACCAAATTTACCAAACACTATCAGAATACAAATTATTGATAATCATAATCATACATTGTAATTTTTACAAAGGTATGAGAAATAATGGGGTTAGTTTTGATGTTCATATGCATGTTCTTTAGTATTATATATTATCGTAACCACTGCAACGTTGCTTGTTAGTCTGTTAGAATAGCCTCTATCCTTGATAAAAGTGCTTTTGTTTATATCATACTTAATATTTGAAATATAAGAACACCCTTCCATTTGACTACTGAAACCTAGTAATAGTTTCAGTAGCAAGTTAGATGACTGAATGGAAAATTATGCCAACTTCACAAAGGCTAACACTTTATCATAGTAACAGACAAGCCGAAAGCAGTCCGCTTACTATCGAGATCTCTTATAAGACCTACTTCATCTAAAACAAGAAAACCTTGAAGTATGATAGCCATTGCAAACCATATTTAGAAATTGTTGATTGGCTAAAACATTTACTTCTGATTGGAATAAAATAAGAAGAGACTTGTTTAGTAGATGCATGAAAAGCGATATTAATTAACAAAACTCATAGTTATGATGACGAGTACCTTCTAGGTTGTAAGCATGAAGCTGAGGGGCTGAATTGAAACCTTCACCTCATGTCACAGGAAGTAACGAATGGCCTCATTTTGTGTTTGTGAAAAAGAAACATTTAACTCAGAATTTCAATATAAAAAGCGTAGTTGTAGCATTTCATCCCATAAACGGAATCCATTTGAATAAGGACTATGAAATAAGAGATCAATCCAAAGGTTGATTTAGACACTAAAAGACATCATTCAGAGAACCATTGAATATCATAGGAAAGTAGATAGCTGATTCGTCCTAAATTAGGACTCTTCAAAGTATCCCATTTCTGATCTTAGAATAGATAAAACCCACCATTTTCAGATTACAAAACGATCTAATCATTCACTCAGCCGGGATGTGACAGCATATGAATTCTAACTTCTGTTAATTCAGAGCATATCTAAACCGTCATCCGATTTCATTAATTAGTGTATATCTTAATACTTGACGTGTTACTCTCTGCCTGATGCAAATCTAAGAAATTCGTCTGGAAGCTAGATGTCACTTACCAATAATATCAGAAAGTGATATACATATGTTGTAAATTCACTGAATTAAGAATATAAGGGGCACTAAATTACAACCAAGTTAATGGATGGCGAATGCTCATACCTCGTTGCTAAAGATCGTGGGTTCGTTTCCGGAAGTAATCACATATGGGCTGTGCCAAAACGTCCCGATTTAGGACCCTAACAATTTCCAGCCCTTCCCCTTTCTTAATCCTTTTATAAACGTTTTGGTTGTGTAATGAAATCTGCTTTAAAACCAACCAGAATCACACAAACTTTACTTCTGAGTAGAGCATTATATCTTAAAAGGATTCACCCTTAAATGCATTGACTCTTAATAAACCAAGGCGTTATTTTATTTCTCATCAACAATCATAACGCTACAAGATCCAGCAAGAATAACATTTATTTGAATAACTAACCACTACTTGTAATCAATAAATAAATAACATCAATGCTACATTTTTGTGTTCACTTTTGGCATCCGCATTTCTTAATTTAAGCAGTATGATTTCCATTAGTAAAAATATTATTATTCACACACTATAATAATTAGAGCTTTAAGCTTATCTCAATACTTCACCATTTAAAACTTTGAAAATTGATCAATGTAAAGTAGAAATAAAAAGTAATAAGAATCCATCTCTTTGCAACCAACTGAAAAACGCTTTGTAGTAAATGTGTAAAAGATAAGTTTTCTGGATTCCTAGTAGATTGAAAAGAAGGAAGTAATGAAATCATGTTGAATAATAACAGCACTAAGCTATAAGGCTATTGGATTACTGCCTGAGGCCCAAGCGGCCACATTCTTCTTGTGACTACTGATTACGTCAGAAAATATTCCGTCCAATATTGTATGTACCAAGAACTATTAGTACACTGAAACAGGAAAATGTGTCAGTGTCACGAAGTTTTCAGTTCTTTCTGGCAAATTATTTCCATATTTGCGAGTTAAATGTTATTATTTCTTATGGGCTCCAGTAGACCATGGGACTTCGTGAGAATATCATGTCCAATCAGGAGAGTTTGATAGTGTCATCAACATTCTTTGGCCTTGATTTATAATTATTCACTTAAATTAGATAAGCATCTAGATCTCGTATATCTATCCAACTTTTTTCAGAAAGCCCTTATGACAAACTCAACAGCCTAACTGATAAGTCAAGATCCTTATTAATCTCTTAACCTCAAAATCCTATCATATGAGAAAGACAATAACAAGAAAACATTTCACTAAATGAATTCAAAACCTCGCAATTATAATATTTTCTAGCCAATAGATCACCAAATACGAAGTAAATTTGTGGTAAACTTGTATTACAATAACCAGCTTAGAAATAATGGTAATTAATAGAAGCCCAGTCGCAAATCTAATAAAACTTTTTAAATAAAGTGAATTTGCAGCATCTTGCATTACCCGCGCTTCTTACGCCAAGTTGAGCAATTAGCTCCAATTTGGCTTAGTAGTTTAGACATAAAAGGCTTCCCCCCACTTACTTTTAGCTAGAGTTCAGGAGACAAAAATCGATACATAGATGTTCAGGTCTCTCATAAATATGCCTCACTTATTAGTAAGATTATTGGTAAAGCTATGGCAAGGCCAAATCATAAAACAACAATAATATAGCGTAAAGGCTACACTAATACCAAACAGTGTTCACCTATATTCTTTTCTAACATTTTTCTTTATTGCGTCTCACCAGTATTCTAGTGTCTTGTTAGAACATGTGGCATACTACAACAATCAATTAGTGGTTTTATTCTCACAACAATTTTAGTGTTTACGATTGGCCTATGTGTTGCAGTTAATATAACTTTTAAATTTAATAATGACTCAGCCAGCCTGTTTTCCATATTTTAGATGGCTTCCACCTGAGACTAAACCTCCCGTGTGTTATTCTTTGAAAACTCACAGAAAACCATGTGATTCACTAATAAATGCAATATGGGTTCATAGCTTATCGATTATTGTACACTGACAGATGAATAGATTCACAATACTATTTAAACGAATACGAGAATGAAAAGTGAATAAAAAAAATCATAAGGAGAACTTAATAGCATAAGAAATATTTATCATAGCATTTTACTGGTTGTCAACCTTGAAAATGATAATACTGTATTTTGTATTATCGCAACGTTCAATGATAAAAGCTTTGTTTAAACATTAAATAGAAATAAGGTCAGGTCCTTTAAAATTTACTAGTTTTATTCATTAAATAATTCGTTGATTATCGCGGTGAAGAGTTACATTTCTTATATTCTGAATTTCACTAATATAACAATTATTTCAGCATTGTATTACTGGTAATTAATTCACAAAAATGAACCACTTTTAAGATTGATTACGAATTGACTTCAAAATCTACTGAAAACTAAGGAATACTTGACAGTCATCTCCACTCTTCATCAGTAACTGTCTATCACGCTACATACCACGAATTACCAGAAATCAGAGCTGACAGATGATTAGATTCCATTTCAATGGATGAATCGTAGGAGAGATAAGAACATAGCTTGAAGGTCTTGCATTCGATTCTTGGTGAAGTGACGGATGCGTATTTATGCAGAATCCTAAACAAGACCAAAGCGGCTCTCCAATACTCCCTGGTTTTCATTGGTCCTCTAATTGAAATCAGTCCGTGATCACTCTTGAAATCAACCCAAACCCTGCAAATCAACACTTCGGAATAAGCCACTTTTGTGGATAAATCAACTTCATAAATGAATAATGAAATGCCAGACAGCAGTTTGTTGAATCGTTCTAAGGCTGTGCCATGGTAAGCAATCTGTCTTTGTTTATCGCTTAAGACTTGGCAAACAAGTAAGTGAATTTTTATAATCTGTTTGATTTTTCGTTTTTTGAAAATTTATGGCTTGTGAGTGTCATAATCCTTGAAGAACATAAACATTTGCATATGTACACTTATTGTTAATTGCCAAATTTTGAATTCACATACGCATACATTTTATGTATTTCATATCATCAGCACATTAATTTACATATTGCTACTATTCGTTGAGAAGTATTTTGACTATATACTTTATATTTTATTAGCGCGTGACATCTTGGAGCAGTTTATATTTTTTTAACTGCTTACTGCATGTTATACTTTTAGAGTAGATGGATTTTCGGGTTGAATTTTGATGAAGATTGGTTTATCTGCAATTTCCTGTTGATATTTAGTACTATTTGTGCAACCATTTCAAACAAAAGACTGCTTTATTACACTTTTGGAGTAGACAGACCTGTAAGCAAATAAGTCTACTGTATCAGATATGCTAGCAGTATAGTATATATAATTATTGGAGATAAGAACTATGTGGACAGAAACCAATTGCATCAGACTGACATTACGATAGGAATTGCATAGGAAATATAGCTAAGAAGTGGTTCGAAAAAAAAACTAGATAATTTATTCAAGAATAAAGCCAATTGTTTGCAAAGAAACAAACACTGATATGAGCCAAAGATAGCAAATATGATTCGATGTTGGCACATTTAACCTAACGATAAATTTTCTTTAAGTTTCTAGTCATGAAATCACACACTTATTATTGCAACAACGAAGTATGTAGGGAATACATTTGTAAGTAAAATTTGATTGCATACTAAAGAATTAATTGCACCTTAGTTTGCAGAATAATAAGATCAGTCACACTTGTATGTTATCTGCGATGATTTGGTTGTTTTCTTAAAAAAAGTCAGCCATAATAAGCTAATATAATGTGGGAATAAAACCTGACAGTTTAGTTGAGGGTTACGGAGTGTTTTATGAGTGGTTATTGGAGAAATTGAGTAATAATCAGTCTTAGTGTAAGATTAAATATGTAAACGGAAAACTAAGGTATTGAACATCAAAGTCAGAGTTACTTAGAGAATGATAAAAGGTAAATAATCAAAACAGAAAACTGTAAGCATAAGTGCATTGCATCTAATTTATACAAGTCGACTGGAATGATAATACCTAATCATGTTGATTTTCCTAGAGTTTTAAACTATGCTCGGAATGTGCCGAAATCTTATTATTTCATCTTGTATGCAAACTTCAGAGGAGCCTCATTGCGTTCATAATATTCAGCATCTAATTGAAAGGAATTAATATCTCAATTAATATCTGAACAAAGCTGGAGATATGTATACATTCAGTTTCGCCGTCAATTTTAAAATACCTTTCTCACGATAAAGCCATATGTTTGTCTTTAATCATACTTTTGCTGATTCGTGATAGTAAATCATGCCATCATGAAAAAAGTGGATGAAGCTAAGAACTTCTGAAAACCCAGTGTTGCTTTTAAGGTTGATTTCTGGCTACAGATACATCATTGGTGAAACCCTTGAAGAAAAGAGAGAACTGAATAACTGTTTCATCTTAGATTGGAGCTGTTCAGCACAGTGCATTCTCAGCCATAGTGGAGGATGAAACCTCAGTTTTCAGATTACGAGATGAACATGTTCACCGATTCGAGTCTCTTCATCAGTAAACACTTATAATTAATCTTAGTGTACTCCGCTTTATCCATCCAATCAACAATTTATGAACTAATAAGCTTTAGAATAATCATTCTCACACTAAATCGGCAAACACAATTGAATATCTAATATGTTTCTTAATAGCTGAATCCAAGGTAGCTGCCACGCCAGTCATAAATAAATGTACCAATATTAATAGCATTGAGATAATTTGGTTAGTAAGGGATATTTAATTTCACCATAAACCCTTGACATCCATGAATGAATTCTGTATATATAAAAGGCTATCTTTTAAACGCACACAGTGGTAACTGTGATCAAGAAAGAAGTAACATAATACCATACACAGACAGCAACATGTTTATTACCAAAGTGCTCCGCAACTTTGAGACTGAAATGTATTAATGGAATAAAGGAATTTATGTCTTTTTGTAAACGAAAATACATACTTCTGAACATAACACTAGGAGAAAAGCTTTATGGTAAATTACTAGACTCTACTGCATCGTTATCCACTGAATAACATTTCATGTCAGTTATTTAACAATTAATTTGTGCACTGTTCATCACCTGAAGGCTAATTATAAAAGATGGTTATAAGTTACTTAGATATTGCGATATCTAGTTAAATCATTTCTCAATGTAACTGTCAGAATCCACATCAAAAATTAGGCTCATTTCCAAAATAGGTAAAATAGCTGTTATCATCCGAAATAAAGATCTACTGATGTTTGAGAAAAAATGAAGACATTTGCATTTTTAAGTGATGTGATAAGTTTTCATAAGCTGAAGTAATTTTATTTCTCTTTAAAATGGAGTCATCTCCCTTAAATATATCTAAACGGAAAGTTCACCTCTAAGAGTGTGTTTGTAGGACACTGATCTGTTTTAAACTTGACTACGGATTGATAACAGTTAGAGAATTGACCAGTGAAAACTAGGGAGCACTGGACAGCTGTTTTGTCCTAGTTTGGAGCTCATCGACAGTACGCATCCACCAGGTTTCGATTCCACGACCTTCTGATTAGAAGTCAGGCTGGTAGACCATTCAGGCACTGGAATCCGACTCAGTGGCCTATCAGATCTAATTTCTGCCCATTTGTGATTTCACGGCGACCACCAGCCAACGGCATCAGCAAGTATTTCTCCTGACTTTCAACCAGGCTGACTACACTGGTTACACCTCACTAGAACTGAATAGTCTACGAGTTTTTCTCTTAACCGGGTTTCCCTGGGTTCCAGACGTGGTGAGTGCTTACTACCGATGAGTCTCAAACTAGAACAAAACAGCTGATTTTGAATTATCAGTTCTCTAACTATTATTAACTTGTGATCAAACTGGAAAAATTATTCCTTAGCGAATAGTATACAGTGTAATTATGCTTGGCTTATGTGTATATATTACTGATTACTGAAAGGAGGAAGATTGTTCATTCAATCTCGTTGAATACAAAATCGACAAAAATAACTTGA